AAAATGTTTGATGAACTTGAGCAAGAAGCAAAGCAGAAAAGAGAATGTAAAAGAGAAATGAGACAGGAAGAATGTGCAGTAGTAATTCCACATGAAGATGACACTGAAGTACATGGCATGAAGCTAGTACAAGATGAAGATGTTCAAATTGTAGTAATGTCTGTAGAAAGCAGAAAAAGTTCTTCCTCTTCAGAAAGTGAACCTGAGTTAACTCAGCTGAAGAAAGAAGCTGATTCTGGTCTTATGATGGATCCCGTTATCAGAGTTCAACCTCCATCTCCTCTTCCACCAAGTGTAGAGTCTATTTCAAGCCCTGAAGAAACTACTTTTCAACCAATTACACATGCAAAAGATGCATTTTCTGTAGAAGAGCAGCCACCTGTTGAATCTGACATGCAAAAGATGAACTCTGAGGTACATAGCAGACATGAAAGCATTAACTCTTCAGAAGATGAAATTATTCGGTCTAAAAGGAAAGACACTATAGATCTAACTGCACCAAAGAGCATAGACGCTGCTGAACCAATAAGCCCCAATGGCCCAGTGGCTGAAAACAGTGTAGATATTAGCAACATTTCTGAAGATTTGAACAAAGAAAAAACATTAACTGTATTGGACCATACAGTTGAACCTGAAACTGAAATGACTCCAGAATATCATACCACCCAGTGCCTACAACAGACAACATATTATGAGAATGCAGCATTTGAAACACAAATTGACAGTTCTTTTGTGTCAGCAGTAAATCTAGACATCACAGAGAAATTTAAGACAGCAACTACAGCAACTGTTTTTCCCCATTTGCAAAGAGAGGAACCAGAGTTTGACAGTAGTGATTATGTGCCTGAAATTATCAGTCCTTATGAAAATGTCCCAATAGAACGGTTCTTTACAAGTGATGACATTGTTCCAGAACTGACAGATGAACAAATAATTTTACCACCACTACCACTTCATGAACCCGAATCATCAAGTATACAAGATGAGTGTAACTTGCAGCAGGATAAAGGAACACCAAGGTGCTCTTCTTCCAGTGGTGACTGTTTTGTAGGAGATGATGTGTTAAACAGTACATCAGAGAGTCAGAGTGAGAAAATTATTATCACTAAATCTGAAACTCAGCCTGACCCATGGAGTGCCATCAGAGAGGATGATGCAGCTTTTGAAGCAAGAGTAAAAGAGGAAGAGCAGAAAATATTCGGATTAATGGTAGACAAACAGTCACAAGGAACAACCCCTGATACTACTCCAGCACGTACACCCACTGAAGATAGTACACCAACCACTGAGCAAAATCCATTTATGTTTCAGGAAGGTAAACTTTTTGAAATGACTCGCAGTGGAGCCATTGATATGACAAAAAGAAATTATGCAGATGAAAGCTTCCACTTTTTCCAGATAGGTCAGCAGTCTGGGGAAGGCTTGCCAGAAGAGATTAAAGAAGAAAGTGGTGAAGAAGAATCTCCAATACCTGAAAGTTTATCTGATCCCTTTTCTACTGTGGAAACTGATGCACTGGAGGTATTGCAAGATACAACAGATTCACCGGTTGATACACTCTCAGTTTCTGACTCTGATTTTGATGGTGCAGATGATAAAGGCTCAGAAGCCACAAAAGCAGAACCCAAATCAAGAATCCCAATTAAAATGGGTATTTCTGCAGCTTCAAAAACATCTAAGAAGGATAGTTTTGAAATGACTGTAACAGAAATGCAATCCACAGATATTTCAGGAACACAAGAAGGCTTTGAGAGTTCAGTAGGTTCTTCTTCATCATCTCCAGATCAATCTGTGGTGGATATGAAAATACATTTTACTACTTTTCCAAAGTTTGAAACTTGTGAACGTGATGACTCACCAGATTCTTCACCAGAAGAACAAAAGTCAGTAATTGAAATTGCAACTGCAGCCGAAGAATCTAGTCCTTCCCATTCATCAAAATCCAAAATTCCTGTAAGGTCAACTTCTTCAGTGTCTGAAGAGCATTCATCACTACTGAGGACTGAAGATGGACTATATGCAGAAAGCTCAGTTCTGGAAGACCATAAGCCAAAGTCCAAAATCCCTGTTAAATCAACGATCGCAAAATCTGAACAGTGCTGTACATTTACAGATGTGAAACGTACAGACACTGACAACAAACTCCCTGCAAAACAAGATTGCAGAACCAAATCTGAGTCTGATGCAAGTGTATCATATTCTAAAATGAAAGCATCTAAAACAAAAAGCTGTACAGAATCCCACTGTGAGTTTACAGAAAATGCAAGTCAGATTGTTGAAGGAGAAAGTATTGAAGTAACTAAGCCAAAGTCATATGCTTCAAGACTTCCAGTGAAAACAAAGAGTTCATCACCTTCCCAAACAGGAGCAGCAAGTGAACAGGAAATGTTCTTTGAGATGTATAAGAACTCTATAGATTTCTTTGAAGAAATAAGTGATGAAGCCTCAAAGTTAGTAGACAGACTTACCCAGGCTGAAAGGGAACAAGAGCCAGTATCTGATGATGAAAGTAGTGCCTTTGAAATTTCAGTCATTGAGAATGCTCCAGTGATTGAAACTCAGCTGAGCATCCAAGAAGACATCTTTGATTCAAGACCAATATGGGATGAGTCAATTGAAACTCAAATTGAACGCATTCCAGATGACCATAGCCATTATAATGTACAAGGTATTTGCCACAAAATGTGGGATTCTACTATGCATGTCATAGATTTTTTTTTTTTATGTGTTCAGTGAAACATTAATTGTTGTGATTGGTTTTGTTTGTGCATGTTTTGTCTGTTTTTATGTTGAAAACGTCATGGTTCTTTGTTAAAAGGAAAAAAAGAAAAAATCTCAAGATTGGAAATTCTTCAGGTTCAGTGTGAAGGTCTTCATGGAATGCCTTTTGTATTCTGGCTGTATATTTACTCACAATATAGAACCACGAGTTGTACAAAAAAAGGTTATGGTTTAGGGTTGAAAATTTTAGGAGAAGAAAAGCTGCCGAGTGTTTCCTTTCCAAAGAGTAAAGGTACATGGGCCAGTGATCACTGAAGAAACCCTATAGCGATTACAACACATACCCTTTCTTTTAAAAAACTGGAGATTTTGTTTAGGAGGACTTAGACACAATTTGTTAATGGCTGCTCTAGCTGCAAATATGTAATATTATAGTTAGAAAAGTAATAGAGGGCCATCAACCATTTTCATTTGAGGAATATATCCTATCACTAACACTAAACATCCTGGTAAAGACTATTTAAGCATGCCCTGTGCATCAGCTATGACTTCAGTCAAGGTTAATGGTTGCTTGAAAAGTGTAACATTTTGCTGGAAGAAAGCATGTAATAGTAGATTTATTTAGATACACACGGGAAGAACTTTACAATAAAAGGAGGACATTACAGGTACAATACAAATCAAGACAAGAACGTAAGGAGGCCCTGCCTGTGAAAGCTTACAATCTAAAAACTCTGGTTGTAAGGCCAGATCTCCAGCCAAAACATTTTATAATTTCAGATAGAGTGAGGTAGGGTTAGAACCTGTGCTAGATTTTGTATTTCAGTCTCAATTTCAATATATTATCACTAACTTTCTAAGTATGCAGTAAAACAAGGGCTCTTGATTATTAAAACATAGGGTTAACCCCCAACAGTTAACCTCTAACAAGGGAGAACAGTGAACAGCACATTAGTGATATTGCCAAAACTATCTCAAAATGCAAATAGCAGTCAGGGGCAGTAGTGGCTTAGATCTCACACTGCAGATACACAGGTACGAGGCTGTAGGCACGCTCACAAAAGGTATCATTTTCAGAGTACTACTTAGACACCATTAACATTTCTAAATGTCCTCTATAACATAGCAAAACTTTTTTTTTTAAATTCAGGTCCACTTGTCTTTGTTATGTACAAAATATTCAGCAAATTAAAGACATTAGAAAAAATGTTCTTGCCCTATCTCTAATTTTACATTCTTAACCCTTTTGTTGCTCATAGGTCATCGATGCCTAGGTCCCCAAGGTCAAATTTAGCAGTGTCAGCATGCGGTCATTAACTTGGCAATAATTGTATGACTAATTTGCATACCTTATCAATTTTTAAACCGTTTTATTTTTATCTGCTACACTGTTTTAGTAAAAATACTGTATTGTTTTTTTGATTAGAGGCTGACAAACTCATAAAAATTAAAAAAAATGATATGTTTTATTTCATTTATTTTGATTATTTTTACATTCTGTAATCTAATTTCAGCATTACACCTATAGCACTGCAGCCTGAAGGTGTCATTTTCCTGAATAAAGCCTCCAGTTTATATGTTAACACTATGTCATACCTGGCATAGTGAACACATGATAGGGAATCAAGCTGAAGGCATGGGGCAACATGCTGGGGAATGTTTAAATACAAACTGGTGAATATAGAACATAATTCTATATCAAAATGTTATCTGTTAATAAGGCTTTCTATTTCCAGGCAGCTGAACATGTAGATTTTCAAGTACAGTCCAATAGCAGCCAGTATATTATAATAAAAGCCAATCTCTGTAGACCTCACATTGATCTGATTCATGTTTTATTTTTGAATACATTGTTGGGAATTTATCAAAACTGGAGCAGATAGAATCTGGAGCAGTTGCTTATAGTAACCAATCAGGTAAGATTTGAAAAAGAAAGAGAGAAGCTGATTGGTTGCCATGGGCAACTTCTGCAGATTGTGCCTACTCCAGTTTTGATACATTCCCCTCAGTCTGTTTTTAAACAATGGTAGCCTTATTTCTTTAAATTAGAAATTAATTATGCAAGGTCTCCGTGATAAATCCTTTTGCTTTTTGACTATGAAAATATAGAAGATCTCATACTGTTAGTTTAGCACAGGCTTTATAAATACTAATTTTACTAATCTATCTTTAATATTTCTGTTGAGTTACATGAAATATTTAAATGCTGATTTTTCCCTATCTTTTTAGGACAAACGTTTTCTGCTTTAAGTTATTTTGATCATTATCTTATGTTGTAGATTTCGAGGAGGATCAAGAGAGAATAGAAAGAAGACTAGCTTATGTTGCTGACCACTTGGGCTTTAGCTGGACTGGTAAATATTTAGAATGCTATTCAATTGAAGTTATATGTTCTGATCTTGCTATATACAGAGGTAGAAAAGGCAACAAAGTGTTGTCAAAGTGATACCCTTGCCCCCTGGCTAAATAAATAAAAAATACACGCTTCGTAACCTTTAAGCTCCTTCTTCAGCTATAATGACAGATGAAAATGTAAAACTCTTCAAAATATATATACAGTATATACACATATATACATCTGCTACACATTTTCTGAGGAGCTAGTCATCCTATTAAAAAAGCACACCCGTTGGTAAGATTCCCCAGTACATTGTCTGACATTCACCAACTTCTGTTCACTAATGGGAAAAGGTACTTACTGTGCTATTTACCATATTTATAACTTAGATGTTCCATTTACCGGACATTCTCTACCAAACATTTCTTTTCTACACAGGCCAAGCTGAGTTGAATTTACATGCAGTTTTGCACACTGGGTACCTGATAAAGCTATAGGGGATAAGTAGGTTGCAACTCCATTTCTGGTGGCTGCTAAAGACCCCCCCCCCAACTGTGAATATGAAATAGTAGGTGTGAAAATTACTACGAACACACACACACACACACACTAATTGAAATTTTGTAATTTTAGTAAAATTTAATTTAGTCATAGTGCATTTCTCCCAAGTTTTAAGGTTGCCAGGAACTCTGGGAAAGGAGAGTGTCCCTGTGGCTTTTCTTGTGGTGAAGATATGTACTTGATCAGCAACAATGTTTAGGTAGGTAGTACATCCATATGAATGGCAGGACCCAGCAGAACATTGCCCAAAGCATCACCCTGCCTCTGCCGGCTTGCCTTCTTCCCATAGCGCACCCAGCCACCTGATGTAACAGAAAACGTGAGTCACCAGGCCAGCCCACCTTCTTCCATTTCTCCATGGTTTAGTTCTGATGCTCATTTGCCCATTGTAGGTGCTTTTGGCGGTGGACACGGGTCAGCATGGGCACCCCGACCGGTCCGTGGCTACGCAGATCCAAGCACATCAAACTGTGATGTACTGTGTGTTCAGACACTTTTCTGTCAGAACCAGCAGTATTTTTTTCAGCAATTTGAGCTACAGTAGCTCTTCTATTGGATCGGACTATATGGGGCAACCTTCATTCCCCACGTACATCAATGAGCCTGGGCTGCCCATGACTCTGTTGCTGGTTCACCAGTTTTCATTCCATGGATCATTTTTGGTAGGACCTAACAACTGCAGCCCAGGAACTTTCAGGAAGCCACAATAGGTGTAAGAAAATTGAGTGCAGAGATCTCATAGAAAGAAAGAAAGAAACTATCAGGTGGTTTAACTCCCCAGCTTCTGCCAATAACTAAAGTGTTTTTTTTTAAATTCAGGTTCTGACAGTGTAGACTTACTCAGCCTGTTGCAAAGCCACAAATTGATTATCCAGTTTAACTTTCCATTGTTATATTTTTTAACTGTAAAGATTTACTTTGGTCCTGCTATTTAGAGCAGCATTAAACGTTCAAACTTTTTTTGCAATATTGAATCCAGATTCAACCAATTTACATATATTTATATATTTAAATAATAATAAAATCTTTATATCTTTAAATATTTGCCCAATCATTTACAGTCATCATTTTTCCAAACAACTATCTCCAACACTCAGTTCCACTTCTCTGAATGTCCTGTTGAGTACAAGATTACAAGAGCCAGAGCAGTTTCCTTCAGGAGTCCATTTATTAGCTTGGAGAAGGGAATAGGGAGGAGTGGGGAGCTCCCTGTGTATTTGTGGATATGCACACAGCTTACTAACACACACAAGGGTGGCTCCATAGGACCCTTGAAGGGAAAGGAGCCACCCTAAATCAGGATATCAGGGTCAGTGCTCAAGGGATTAGCTGATTCTTCGCAAAAATAAAATTTTAAACATCAAGGAGCAGCATCCATTGTAAGTGATTTATTTAGGGGTCTATTCACAAAGCTGCCGAAGGATCTGGCCGTAGCTTCGGCTGATCCTTCGGCTGGCTTCGGCCCCAGGACCCCTTCGGTTCAGTAGAACCGAAGGGCTGCTGTACGGGCTATTCGCTATAGCCCGTACAGCTCCCGAAGTTGGCCAAGCGGCTCAGTCGAGCCGAAGGCATATGCTTCGGCTGGACTGAGCCGAGGTGAAAGCTGAAGCTGGCCGAACGGCTGGCTCCGGCCACTTGCAGAGACAGATCAGCGTCCCCTGGTTACCAGGGGACGCTGATCTGTCAGTACACTGAGAACCCGTTGGAGCCGCCATGATATCACAACAGCGTCCCCTGGTTACTGGGTAACCAGGGACGCTGATCTGTCATTACGATAAGAGCTTAGCGGAGCCGGCTTTAATATCACCACCGTCTCCACTAAGCTCTCATTGTATTGACAGCTGGTCCCAGCCAATAGAAAACATTTGGGTGTAGCTAGCCCCGCCCAATTGTTTTCTACTTTTTTTTTACAGTTTTTCTATTCTGCTCAGTACCACAGAGGTACCGAGAATAGGCCGAACAGCAGCGAGTAGCCTGCCGGAGGTTCAGCTCACCCGATCCAGATGTTGGATCAGCTGAGTCAAACTCCTTCTGCACTGGATGAGGTGTGAACGAGCCCTAAAATGTTTGGCCGCACACAGAAAGTGTACTTCACTTGTTGCATATTTCCAATGCATTGCTTCCCTGCTAGGTGGCTGCAATGGGGGTAAACAGGTAGTTTGTCTGCTCCAGAGTCCATGCTCACAGTTTGCCATCTGCAGCTAAGTTTGTTTATTAAACCACATATATATTAACTATGTGTACACTTAAAGATTAATAATGCATGCATGTCAGGGGATTATTCACCAGGCAACAGGTAATGCAGCAATGTTTATTAATGTTAAGAGAAATGTAGGAAAAGTGGTATTCACTTTAGAAATGTGTAAAATATAAAGTGCTGTAAAATAATACCAAATTATGCAAAGATTTTTTTTTAATCCACAAATGCCAATTCCTGCATTTCAGATAAAGTCTGCATATACACACAATCTGACCTAGAGCCACTAGGTGGCACTAAACATTCACTGTACAAAATGGCATTCAGCAGCTCACCCTTGTTTTTTGTAATGTTTTTCAGAGCTAGCCAGGGAGTTGGATTTCACAGAAGAGCAGATTCACCAAATACGAGTTGAGAATCCAAATTCTTTACAGGATCAGAGCCATGCTCTACTAAAATATTGGCTTGATAGAGATGGAAAGCATGCAACAGGTAAACAATGCAGCAAAGATCATTTTGATTAGGAATATGATTAGGATGCAAATCCTTAATATGAATGACATGCAGCATAACAGTCTTTGGTAATTTAACATGTGAAATTACAATTACATTTCATAAAATTTTAGATGGGTTTGTTGCTTTGGTAGCCTTTACAGAGGGAGACTATAAGGGCACAGTTTAAAGCCTTTGGAAAATTGTTAAGTGATTGTTAGAACCTATTAAAAAGAAAAAAGTAGAAGAATAATATAAATGCTGGCTAAGTATTGCCATGCTCTCTGAACAAAAATACACCATTTCCGATCTGTTCCTATAACTAACATTGGTAGCAAGTCCTATTTTTGTAACATACCAGCCAGGTTGTAACCTTGATGCCAACTCAGTACTTTGTCCAGCCATTAAAAGATTTTCGGCAGTATTCATTAATATAGTTTTTATTGCTAAAGGATAACTATTTTTAAGATTTAACTCCTGAGTTTAGTTTCAGTTTAGCAGGGATCGATTTAAAGACTTACACAAGTACTTGCAGGTACTGTTAGGACTTTGCTTTACTTCACCATTGGGTTCACTTTAAAATGACTATTTTGCTAAAATAAAGGATTAAATACTTATTTTAACACCTTTATTTTTAGCAACTGAAGCATAAAGAATAATGATATGAAAGTATAGTTACCATAACTATTAACAAAAATGTATCTTATTTGTATATCACTCGGCTGTAGATCCTCAAATCATCTCTGAAATGGTGCTGACACTGTCCTTCCTTCTGGAGGGTGGCTACACTCTCACATTTAGTTTATTAATTTGAATTGAGATTGTAGTTCCTCACGGGAGTGAGCTAGGGGTGGTTAATACTTTACAACACACACAGGGACCATGGGGAACAAAAGTAGCCACCCTCCAGAAGTAAAGACAGTGTCAGCACAAATTAAGAGATTATTTGAGTGATGCAGTGATGTTTAGTGTCACTTCAACCTTTGGACCCCCGTGGATCCTAGGCCCAGGCTGTACAAGTAACCTTGCCTAAGCTATAAAAGCAAACATTTCTCAGCACACTTTCCAGCTAGCCTGCAAAAAATACAGTCTAACTTTTAGGGTAAAAAACAGAGGTTTTAGTTGCACAACTTTTGCAAAATATGTGGACGCCACACTGCCCCGTCAAGGCCCCTGTGTGTAGTGTGGTCCTAACTGTAGTCTATGAGAGCCTCCAATTTGGAGCATATGTAGCAAGGGATGAATTGGGTGCAGGTTTTCCAGGAGGTAGCCTATTCCCTCCTTAAAGGCACAGGGCACTCCAGAGGCCCCGCACATCAGCTGAAGCCCCCAGTGTGTCCCCACACAAGATGGCAAATGCACTCACCGAATCATAACCAGCTTTAAACCAAGGTGCACATGAAAGGCCTCTTGTACTGTGTAAAGCCCTTCCATATGCACCTTGCTTTAAAGCTGGTTATGAATTGATGAGTGCATTTGCCATTTGTTTTGCTTGACTAGGTATGTCACCTATCATTCAACTGTTTAATGTTAACACTTCAGTAGTGGCTTGGGAATTTGAAAATGAAATAACAAGGAGAGGGGCCTAATCACTTCATCAAGGCACCATATCCAGCCTGGAACTAGGATGCAAGGGACACAGGTGTATATATAACAATTTCAGTATTGTTGCTGCCTTAGAATAGTTTTTAGTCAGGTTTGCTTTAAATGGTTTTGTGGATGCAATAATTAGCATAGTGAACATAGTATTGCTTTTTTTCATTTTAGCCTGGAGTTCTGCTTTAAGTCGAATGCTTGCTTTAGATCTGCCCCTTACTTTACCATTGTGAAATAATTTTTTACTTACTGTTTTGCTAAAATGCAGATACCAGTTTGAACCAGTGCCTCACTAAGATTAACAGAATGGATATTGTTCACCTTATGGAAACTTGTATGAATGAACCCATGCTACGCCATGCCAACCGTACTTATGCTGACATGGAGCAGACAATCATACTGGACCATAGTGAAGGCAAGTAGCCATACCAGTTTATCATGTAAAAACAAAAGCAGATGTGTCCTTTAGTACAAAGCCTTTCAGTAAGCAGGAGCTTAGATACTTGGCCACTGTGCTGCACTGTGTTGGAAAGACAGATATAAAGTTAATTCTTGAGATCAGAAATGTTGGAACAGCCATTGCTGATAGCTGAATTTCACTGCATCAACCCTATGTTACATTTTTTGCACATTCACCACATTCCAAATTGTTGAACTGTGGTTTTTGTAGGCTTACCTTTTAACCATTCACACTTTTTACATTTTTTTCAAAAATTAAGATTAAAATAAAAATAAGTTTTCCTCTCCCAATTCAGATTATATCAACCTAGTGCACCAGAAATTCAGGCAAGTATCTATATGGGAAGGGGGCAGTGAGTGTGCATCATCCTGCCATGTTATTATCAGCCCACAACCATTCATATGAGACCATGCATTGAGAAGTACCCCGGAAAAGGGAGGTACCCTCCACACCATTGTTGGCCAATGCTGATGGCAATAGAGAGTGGTGGAAGGGGGACTTATGCGCCACATACCAGGAAGAATGGGAAGGTAGCTACCATATTTCTGAGAAACTATTTTAGGTCTTTTGGACACCTAACCAGGTTACTGTGCAGATAGGAAATAATTTAACATATCATACCTACACAATTTAACTAATATTTACCTGCCAGGGTACAGTAGCACCTCTGCGATGTAAAAGTCAGTTAATAACAAAGTTCCAGGATGATACACAGCATAGTTCTGCTGTTATAGCTTTAATATGTTATGCTTTAGTTAACATTGAGTACATAAACTAGGACCGTTAATGGACTTTGTCAGTGTGTAGCTACATGATGTCTCATCAATTGCAGATAAATATCCAATCACTACGACATCATCTCTTGTACTCTGCATTGTCCTGGAATTTTGTGTTGTCTTTTCAATAACAATTAACAACAAGATTACATTTTGATTGAAAAAATCCTGGTGTGTCAAAACAAGGAGCACAGGCTCCCTCTTCTCAACCTATATTTGTGAATGTTTTCTAAGAATGCCCCGAAGTGTTTAATATAGGTTATTGCTTGCTTGTGTTGTGTTATTGGAATTAATTAATTCTGCCTTATTTATCTTCTTAGGCTTTTCTGCTCTTCAGGATGAATTCTGCAGCCCACAGAAAAAGAATGTCATCGATCACTCAGGTTCTGTAGGCAAGGAGAGAGGTGAACACCCTCCTCTGGTGTCCGAGGAGGATGTTTCAATCAGTTATTCACCCTTGCATGAAAGTTCAGCAAGGCCTGAAGATGACACATCTGTTGCAGAGATGATCCGACAGCTGCAGAAAGAGAAGGTGGAAACGGAGTTCTCCAGGGAATCAGAGAAATTATCAAGGGCCTTATCTTCTGAACATGAATATATGTAAGAATCTGGCACTTACCATTAGGCAGCATTTGTACTGGTCAATAAGACAATATAGTGTACTTTCATTTGTTCAGGGTATGGGGCAAAGTAAGAACCTCATCTCAGGTGGTATCCTGCAGGAAACAAGGTTCCAGTATAGCTATACCTGCCTGTTCAATCACCTTTATCTTTAAGACATTCAGCGTTATTCTGTAATTAAAAAGCTTATTCGGCTGACATCAGTACTATAGAATGTGATTCCTGTTGGATGCAGGATTGTGTACCTTATCTATGCTTTATGCACTTATTGAATAAGCCTTATTTTGTTAATGTGTTTAGTAACAATTGTTGTGCACGTGCATAGAGCAATATACATTTGTGAAACAGGATTCTATCCAAAAAGACCACTCAGTGTAGCATCACAGCTACTTAAGACCCACCGCTGATATACTGAAATACAGCCATTATGCTGACCCTACTTAGTCACAACACTTTGATATTTGAAGAGGAACTCAAGTGCCTATATAAATTATATAAATAGTTTCCTTCAAATAGTTTTCCATTAATAACTTTACATAAGTAGAGTGATTGCAAGTGTTGCTTTTCACACGGCCATCTCAACAAATGAGTAAGTCTACCATGATTTTGAAATGTAATGTTCAAATCCTTGAAGAATATAGGCTTAACAACCTGTCTGACACTCAGGACCAGCTTAGCAATCTTTATGGTCAATATTGAATGTTAGGTCCAAATCCCTGTATAATGCAGACCTAAAAATCTGACAACCAGACTAATTTTTAGCTTGTAGTCAAAGCCTTTTCTAAGAGCGTAAGCAACATGCTAGAATGCCACTCTCGGGGGTTCCTGCTAAACGGGCCAAAATTTGAACTGTGGGTGGTCCTTTGTGGACCACATGACTCATTAACAGCCGATTTTCAGATGATGTAGGAACTGTCTGTTCAATATTTGTAGATACATACATGAAAGAGATTAGTCTCAGCCATTATTTATGTACGTGAGGGAAGCCATATTTGCTTGTTATATACAGTACTGTGCAAAAGTTTTAGACAGGTGTGAAGAAAAAATGCTGTTACGTAAGAATGCTTAAAGAAATAAAAGTGTTAATAGTTTATTTTGATCAATTAACAAAATGGAAAGTAAATGAACAGAAGATAAATCCAAATCAATATTTGGTGTGGCCACTCTTTGGCTTTAAATCAGCATCAATTCTTCTAGGTACACTTGCACACAGTTTTTGAAGGAACTCGGCAGGTAGGTTTTTCCAAACATCTTGGAGAAATAACCACAGATCTTCTGTGGATGTAGGCTGCCTCAAATCCTTCTCTTCATGTAATCTCAGACAGACTTGATCATGTTGAGATCAGGGCTCTGAGGGGGCCAAACCATCACTTCCAGGACTCAGTGTTCTTTTTAAGTAGTTCCTAATGACATTGGCTGTATGTTTGGGGTCGTTGTTATGCTGCAGAATAAATTTGGGGTCAATCACACACCTCCTTGATGGTATAGCATGATGGATAAGTATCTGCTTGTATTTCTCAGCATTGAGGACACCATTGATCCTGACCAAATCTCCAACTCCATTTACAGAAATGCAGCCACAGAATTGCAAGGAACCTCCACCATGCTTCACTGTTGTTGCATACACTCATTATTGTACAGCTCTCCAGCGAACAAACTGCCTCCTGCAGTAACCAAATATTTAAAATTTTGACCCATCAGTCCAGAGCACATGCGTTGCTGCCATTCTTCTGCACCCCAGTTCCTGTGTTTTCGTGCATAGTTCAGTCGCTTAGCCTTGATTCCACGTTGGCGGTATGGCTTTTTGGCCGCAATTCTTCCATGAACACCACTTCCGGCCAGACTTCTCCGGACAGTAGATGGGTGTACCTGGGTCCCACTGGTTTCCGCCAGCTGGGTGCTGATGGCACTGCTAGACATCTTTCAATGTCGAAGGGAAGTAAGCTTGATGTATCTTTCATCTGCGGCAAGTTTCCTTGGCCGACCACTGCAACTATGGTCCTCAATGTTGACTGTTGAACAGGACATCTTGAAACCCCAGTCTGCTTTGAAATATTTGCCTGGGAAAGACCTTGCTGATGCAGTATAACTACCTTGTGTCCCGTTGCTGTGCTCAGTCTTGCCATGGTGTATGACCTGTGACATGAAACTGTCTTCCACAGCCTTGCCTTAGTAGCAGAGTTTGGCTGTTCCTCACCAAGTTTTAAGCCTTCTACACAACTGTTTCTAGTTCAGTTAATGACTGTTTTTCAACCTACCTATTAAATTGATGAACATTAGCACCTGCTTGGTATAACTGGTTAATCATACACCTGACTCTAATCCTACAAAATCCCTGACATTGCGCAAGTGTAATAATTGATGCTGGTTTGAAGGGTAGCCACACCAAATATTGATTTGATTTAGATTGTTCTTCTGTTCACTCACTTTGCATTTAGTAAATTTATAATAATAAACAATACAAATATATATCTTTGAAAGCATTCTTACTTTACAGGATTTTTCACACCTGCCTAAAACGTTTACACAGTATTGTATGTAAGCTATGCTTTTTGCTTAGCAGTACTATTTAACTACCTTGACTGTACCTTGTTGATCTTCCAAAGTCTCTGAAAAACTACCAGACAAGGTATGTCTAATAATAAAAAAAAACAACAATAGACTTGTTTTATTTAAAGCTAAAGAAAACATTGTATTAAAATATAGGGAACTACTGTCTTCTGTTCTGTTTATGTGAAGTGTGAATTTAAAAGATAGGTCCACTATAGGAGACATTATAGAAGGCGTCACTGAGAGTAGCTCATTTTAGTGGTCTGTGCATTATATTTTTCTAGTTTTTCGCATCTCCCTGGTATCTAGCTGTTGTATATTATAGCTATTGCAAGTACATGATGTGACAATATGCTAGTGAATTTAATATGTAATTGTCTTACTTCTCTATCCAGTGTTACATCTCCTGATTTAGATAAAAACATACCAGATGCAACAGACGACTCTCTGCATTTCAAGGAAGTCCCTCATTCCCCTCATGGCTCTTCAGAAGAGTTTGGTAGACCCGGCCTGGGGACTCCTGTGTCTGATCAGCATAATAATTCCCCTATTGTGCAGGAGCCAGATGAATTGTCAGAACAGGAGGACCGTGCCGCCAGCAGCAGTGACCTATTTATAGTGGAGTCATCAGATGAGCAGGCTGAGAAAATGGAAAAAATTTCTGAATACAAGTCATTGGATTCATTTGAAAGGGTAAGGCATCACTGTTATTCATTATGAGATGTTTAAACTTAATTAGGACATGTTTGAACATTTCTTTTGTAGCAGCCATTTTGTAACTTACAAATACATGCCCCAAATGAATACATTGATATAAATAAGGTGTTTTTTAATTGTATTATTCAAAGCAACACAGCCTCTGCTAAAAAGTGACCATCAACAACTGTCATATAGCACATTTCTCTCCTAGTTGTATGTAGAAAATAGGTATTATGTAATATCTTCAGGTAGGTGTTCATTTATCTTCCAGGATTTTATCTTTTCAGGCACTGTATAATTTCAGCTATACGGTGCCAAACAGTAATTAAAGTGGAACTCCAGACAAATGGCTAAATACATTGTTGAAATACATTTAAGTTTGTAATTTTGTCTACTAAAGGATTTGTTATTTTGGCCAGCCTTTCTTGTGATAGACACACCTCAGCTAGTCAGGAGAGGTGATGATCCAGATTCACTGTTGCATAATAAAGCTGTGGGCTCAGAGAAGGAATAACAAATCCAATTACTGAACCAGAAAAAAATACCGTATTTTTCGCTTCATAAGACGCACTTTTTTCCCCCAAAAGGCGGGGGAAAATGTGTGTGCCTCTTATGGAGTGAATCCCTATCACCCGACGACCAAGACATGCAGTTTCAGGCGCCGGGCGTAGTTTTCTGTACATTTAGCCCTGCTAAAGCAGAGCTAAATGTACAGTAGGAGCCACTGCTCGTTTAATACGAGTGATCTAATCAGATCACTCGTATTAAAACTGAGCAGCGGCGGCGATCGAGATCACCATAGAGCCCCTAGAGCAGACGTGAGACCGTGGTGCTGTAATCACAGCGCCACCTGTCTCAGCAGTCACTAACTGCAGCTTCTGTTACAGCTTCTGTCACAGAAGCTGTGACAGAAGCTCCGGTCTGTTCAGTGCTCCATAAGGCGCACCGGACCTCCCTGCGTCCTATGGTCCGGTGCGCCTTATGGAGCGCAATATACGATAATTTATTAATAAGAATCTACGCATGGCACTCGTCTGGCTGTGCACCTCTGAAAATGTGTGTAAATTGCTGTACAAATTTACAGATCCTGTGGCAAACAGGAAAACAGTTAAAGAGTTCCTAAACTCTGTAAATTGTGCCTAAAAAAGCAAGCTGATCTCCCTGCAGCTGATCTTTTCCCCATTACTGTCTTACCATGCCTTGTTCTGCTCTGTCTCTGTTTGGAGACAGTCATCTTGGTGGAGCAGTACTTTGCTTCCACATATCGGAGCTGCCTTCTAATGATTGGTGATCTGATGGCTAGGGGAGAAACAGGCAAGCAGCAGAAAAGGTGTAGGAAGCACAGATCCACAGAATGGATGAAGTACAATAATGGAGATCCTTCAACTGCAACTTCCTTTTCAGTAAGGGGTACAGTGAACAGCACAGCAAATCTTGTGAAACTAGCAGAGGTTGCAATGCCTTAGGTCAAGAATGTACAACAGAAATAAATCAGTGGGCCGAACAAAGAAAAAGGATCACAACTACTTTATTCCAGAAAAAGATTATAGCTGCAACTTACAATGTTTATTCCAGAGTTACGCCATAAAACATTTGCTGATGCATCGATCTGTAAAATTATATAAAGAAGTGTATGCTTTATCAACTGGAGAACAGATGATTAACTTTAATTTCTTAAACTAATGAAGGGTCACAAATAAGGGGCAGAGGGGCCACCTGTGGCTAAAAAAGCATCCATTTTTCATGTCTGCTGTTAGAAGATCTCACACTGCATATATGCAACCATGAGGTTCAGGATAGAGGAAGTATACTGCTGTTTCTTAAGAGAGTTCAAGGCGAAAGGTTATTCTTTCAGGGTACTGCATAGGCACAATTAATAGTTCTAGATGTTCACTATAAGATAGCAAATCTTCACAGTTTGATTTTAGCTCAGCTTTAACATACTGTATATGTATTTATACTGTGAATGTAGCTGTTTGCTAGGACTTTTTATTGGTTTTCTGTCTAATCTGTCTTTAAAAATGACAAGCTGCAGTCATACTGTAGCTATTATGATTTACCTCACCTGCATAATATACCAGCTTTAGCAGGTTCACAGAGCTGCTGCTGTAAAGCAAGAAAATAACTTGTTTTGAAAATGAGTATCACTGATTTCAGTACATTGACTCTGTGAAGATGTAATAGATACCACTGTGGACGTGGAAGAATGTAGGATGTGTGGTTTGACAACTTTATAACTTGAGCAAACCCATAATTGATAACAGCCTGGCCTTCAGGTTTCTCCACTGTGAAGAAATTTCACGAACAGATCTTATCTTAGAGGAGCTACCAGTCAGCCTGGTCATATCTTCAGACCGCCTGTGGTTATATGCTCTTTTCCCCAAACCAATTATGTTTGGGTGATGTTTATGTAATATGAACCTTTGCTCTTAGGGCACATTGCCATCTGAGGTAGTGATCTGCACTCAATAAATTCTTATGTAGTCTTCAAAAACTCCTCTCGCATCAACAGACATCCCAACTCTCCCGGACGCTCCGGGTGTCTCCCGCTATTAGATAGCGGCTCCCGGCCGCCCGGGAGAGAAACACTTCTTCCCGGAAAGGTTTATCTGCTCGGTCGAGCAGATAAATCTTTCCCTGCGATCGTTTTTTTCTTTCTTTTTTGACATTGGGAGCCGCGGCCCGACCGTCAGTCAGAAAAGAAAAAAAAAAGGCATACGAATGCACAGCTAGATTCCTATTGGCTATTGCACTTTGCAATAGCCAATAGCAAACTAGCTAATGCACCCGCCCACTGCTGCTGTCGATCAGCAGAGGGGGACCTGAATTTTTCTATCAGGTCCTCTTCTGGTGATTTAAAGCATCAGAGGGCGGGTGCAATAGCTAGTTTGCTATTGGCTATTGCAAGGTGCAATAGCCAATAGGAATCTAGCTATGCATTCGTATGCCTTTTTTTAATTATTATTCTGACGACAGCAACTGTCAGAATACTAAAAAAATAAAAAAAAAACCCCTGCAGATAGCTAAGAAGCTATTGCTTCCTGTGCTATCTGCCATCATTTCAGGGGGGTGCTCTCTCCCAGCCCCCCCTAACCCTCCCTCCGCAGATGGGGGGGGAGAGGGCACCTCCCTGAAATGAGAGGGACACCTCCCTGAAATTGCTTCTTTCAGGTTGGGATCCCTGCATCAATACATATGTTTTGGTAGGGTTGGGCCCCCAGGTAATTTCAGGATCATTATCTTAATCTGTGTATCTTTTTTTATTGTCTGCACTACATCTGTTTAAGAAGCACAGTAAACCAAAGAGCAATCGTATTACTTTTATTTGCTGTAACAAATGTTATACATATGCAAATTTCAAAATGCTTGCAGATAGCTAAAGCAGAACTCAGTCTGAAGTGGATTTTTCTGTTCTGACAGGGTTTGATCCCCAGCAGTGTCTTATCTGTGATCCCAGCAGGGTGTTGTCCTCCATGCTCTGATCCTACTGTGACAGCCAGGACTCTTTTGAGAGCTAAACTTCTTGGTTGCTCACTCTTAAGAGCATTATTATTACAATACTATAGAGAATCCACTAGGGGGTCAGTGACACCATAATGCAAGAAAGTTTTCAGTAGATTTTACTGTAATTTTCTTGGGGACCCACTCTAATCCCCACCAATAGTGTAAAAATCCATCAAGGGTAGAGTTCTGTTTTAAAGAGTAAATTGACATGGCGTCTCATTTATAAAACTGGAGGAAAGGAAAAGTATGAGTGCATCTCTTAGTAACCAATCAAATTACCACATTAATTTACTTAACAGCACTTGAATTGAGAGCTGAATATGATTGGCACTTGTTGTTTGAATTGCTGTGGGTAACACTTCCACTTTACTTTCCTTCAGTTTGTATACTGGAGAGCCACAGGTTTTTAAGGCAATCACAGATCTAGAATAGTAAATAGAGTACCACTTCCATACTTCCACCAGGACCTAGCAGAGGAGTTAGGTGAGCTAGAGACCAAGTCAGATGAGGACGAGATGGTAACTACCAGAGTCGTTCGCCGACGTGTCATTATTCAGGTACTAAGTGTTTAACTCCTGCACGTCCCTGTGCCAGACACGGCAGAGTACTGGTTACACTTGCAGAGAGCTACTTCAAACAAATATCTATTAAATAACATGGCTGTTTGCATGTTTTCCTAACTAATGCATGTCTAGTCTGTTTGAGTACTCAGCACCGACCATTAGTACCAATAGGAAAAGTAGATTTATTATTAGCTTCCTCACTTTACCTTCCAAAGTGCAGGCATGAGACCAACATACGAGTGGCTCAATAGCCAGAAAATTGTATAATACTGCACATTGACTGAAGGCCCCATGCATGCAATTAACACTTTTTTTTTTGCAGATTTGCTGTCAGAATTTAGTTGTTAGTAATTTTCCTATTTCATTTTGATACCATGCCCCTACTTATGCTGATGCTATTTACCTGAATGCAAGGGATTTTGGTAAAGGTTATCTTTTCTGCATTAGGCCGACAATATGCCTGACATTCTCCCGGAGACAGTGACCGAAGAGCAGTATACAGACGAGCATGGACACATTGTGGTAAAAAAGGCGAGTTTAGTCTTTAATATTTGAGTATGTTTGAAGTAAATTACACTTTTATATATATATACTTGATTATAATATAGGAGTAAGACATATATTATTGTCAAGAGTCATGAGTATGTTCACCACCAGCATGAGTTCCCTGACCAGGGTGCAGGAAAATAGGGGTCTACCTCAGGTGACATATAGTGGCAGAACCTCTGATATCCTTCTCATATTTTTTATAAGGGGGTACTCATGCAGTGCTTTTTATGGCACCTAGGAAACAGAATACCCTGATTCACGTCCTCCTTAAAGCCCAATTGACCGCTTAGTTTACATTAGCTAAATACATTCCAGGTGCACCAAAACAAAAGGTGTACACTATCTTACAGCTAATTTTCTTTCCGAAGCAGCGTTCACATGAGTGGAAAAACCTGCCCCCTGCCAGTATGCTGCAAAGTGGGACCTGTGCTCTCTGCGAGGAAGCAGTGGTCTCACTGCAAAAGTCTGACACACCCCAGACTGAGTCAGCTTTTTTAAAAAGAATAAATGTTATTGTTTTGAAAAAAAAACCCAGTACAAAATAGTCCCTTAGGGAATAAACAAGCATTGTATATACAGAGAAGGTTCCAAGGATTACATGGACAGATTCTTACATAATACAAGAGAAAAGGTGTGAACAACCACAGCATGCATTGGTCACTGGGTCGGTACTTAGCTCTGCAATCAGCAAGGCTAGTTCTCCATGCTAATTGAAGAGCTTTGGCTCTGACTCAGCAGGGGGCATGTTAAACCTCTGCAGAGAGACTACTGCTTCCCTATACGGAAGAAGGATCGCGCTCTGCAGCATGTTGGCAGAGAAAAGGATTTTCTGTTAAAGCACCGGCTACGAACAGAAACTAAAAACAAGCTCAGTCATGAAGGGGTTAAAAAGAAAGCAGGCTGTAAGACATTGAACACTTCCTTTAAAACAAAAGAAGTACCAGGAATGTATTTAGCTCATTTATACTGAGAATTCAGTTGGGCTTTAAGGAATACTTTTACAGTATCTTCTATATGATATTTTAATATTACCACAGTAATATTACACTTGACTTCAAACATGATTGAACCCCAGCTGAACACTAGATTATGCATGGTAAAGGTAAAAGCCTTCTTAAACAGCTAAGAAACCTGTACTTAAAGAATATAAATGCTCCCATTGCTGACCTCCTTCTGAAATGGAAGTTGCCCAGCTATCTTTTGCTTCAATACTTTGAAACACTCACCTAGAAAAAGTATGCTGATCAGGAAAGTCAGAATAAAGTCTGCATATTTAGTGAGTCATTAACTAGAAAGTACTGAAGCCACGGGATCAGATTTCCTTATCACTTGAACAACAATGCATAATCTAAACACAGTGAGGGGAATTTATCAAAACTGGAGCAGACAAAATCTGGAGCAGCTGTGCATGGAAACCAATCAGCACATCTCCTTCATTTTCAAATCTTAACTGAACAAACTGAAGAGAGAAGCTGATTGGTTGCCATGGACAACTGCTCCATATTTTGTCTGCTTCAGTTTTGATAAATCCCCCTCTTTATGTTTATGAAACATGGTTTACTTTTTGTCTATGCAGGTGACTCGGAAAATAATTAGAAGATTTGTCTTACCTGATGGCACAGAGAAAGAAGAAGTGATGGCACAGGGCGCCGCTCATGAGCCAGTGACAGTTGAAGAGGGAGATTCTTTTTCAAAGGTTTTTAAACGAACTGTACTCAAGAGTGACAGTGAACAGTCTGAAGTAAGTCTAGAAAATAAAGTGTTTGCAGGACTGCAGAATGACATGTTTTATTAGAGTCATGTTTTACATTTCATTAGTGATGAGTAATAAGAGATTACATGGCTTCTTATAAGAGGTCACATAGGTCAGTTACTTGCTTCTTTACATCTTTCAGCAGCTAATAGTGTATGAGCATATGTGCATTAGAGAATTGCTATTTAATAAGCGATAATTTATGTTCTTTTACTGGACTAATTCCTAAAATGTTCTTACAAATTATTTGTCCATATTGCACCATGTCTTTAGATGCAATATGCAATATACTGTATGTCACAAAATAAAACATACATTTAAAGCTCATCTCCAGGCTCCCCCCTCCTTCTCCCCAGGGCTCTCCCCTATATGCTTGAAGGCCTTTTTTTTTGGGGGGGGGGGGGGTTACTCTATGCAGTCATGTGATGCACAGGGTTCTCTTACACTTTTGATCCTCTACCAACGGTGGGTTTTGCTCTGTAATGCAGAGGGTGACGTGATGACATCCAAACCACTATCTGCATCTTTATACTGTGAGTGCAGGGTGCCATGGTGACACTTATGACATCTTTCACTCACAATATGTCTTCAGTTTTCTGGGTTGAATGATGCTGGGGGTCATATAACACAAATGACCAAGGACATCTAGTGGTGGAATGGAATTACTGCAGGACAACACCAGTGAGGAGATGTGTATTGCCGCTGAAAATATGCTGGTACGGGCTACCATTGTGGATCTGTTTCTAAACATGCTAATTGCCTGGCTGCTCGGCTGCTTCTCTGATTCATTAGTTTGAGGCACTTGAAGTTAGAACACCTGATCGGCATACTTGGCCTCGCTCATTGACTCAGTATGGAGGTCATTGTGAGAGCCAGGCAGCTAGAAGAAGAGGACAGCAGTGGCCTATGTAATTCTCACAGCATATGTTTTCCTTTAAAAGCTCATGGATGGAAAACATACAACAAAAGTAGCACTATAAATCATTCATAACATAAATAGAGGCATCTAATTTGCTAGCTAGATACTGCTAAAAGTGAAAGTGATCATTAATTATTGATGCTTATTAAACTGGGTAACTCATATTCAGTCCTTGAGCATTTATTTAAATAATTCCACCTTTATTCTTCATTTATAATAAGGGAATTATTAATAAAGTGACACAGTGGGAATTCAGGCGACAAAGATGTTCTAAATACTGAAGATTGTGTTTGTTAATTAAATATGATCTTTGGACTGAAAAGCAGAAATTACATGGCTGTAGCTAATCCTCTTCTATTGTCATTTTGACATGCAATCTATAGAAATAAGCAATGGCTAGTTTTATTAGAGCAGTTAGTTTCCCAGCTTCTGACAATAAAGTGAGGGTGCTCAAACATTGCCCAACCATGCTAGGCCTTAGTTGACCATTGAAACCCAATTATAGGGGGAAACGTACTTAAAAGAGAACTATTGGGTAAGTGTTTTTCCCCATAGTTCTCTTTAGGGTCACGGGAGGACATTATACTAACCTCCTCCCATGATCCAAAGCTCAGTATATCGTGGGCAATAATGAGAGTGACGTAGCCGGGACGGATCCCGACAATAATGTCGAGATGCACCCAGTTGCTTGATGACAGCTGGCTCTGCTAATCTAGAGGCAGAGCCAGCTGTGCCTGCCCCCTCCCACTTTCGTTCCTCCACTCAGCGCTGGAGGATTGGAGAGGGGAGTGGGGGAATCCATGCAGGAAGCGGTGACTGCCAGTCACCGCTCACTGCAGGGAGACCATCGGGAAGTGATCGTTTCGGTGCATGTTTCTGCTCACTTCCCGATCGATAGAGCCGACCTCTGACAGTCTCATTGTCACAGGTCGGCTCTAACTATGAGGATAAGTGGAAATAACTCGCCTCATAGTTCTCCTTTAAGCAGCTAGTTCAGACATAAAACAATAGAAATAAAATACTGAAAACAGATAAAGACCAAATGGTTCTTCTAGTGCACCTGTTTAAATGTTCTTTAGAGTAAGAGTAGAACTGTACTTACTCAAGCATCTTTAATTGTGTCACTGTTGATTTTTTACTACATTTTCCAGTAGTTGAAGACCCTAGGGACTCGAAAACACATCTTGGGGAAGTTAAAAAAAAGTACAAAATGAGCCACAATAATTGTTTTCAAACATGTTTTATTGTGGTAATGCATTGCATTCTTGCCACAAGAGCCTTCTTTGGCTTTGGTCAAAGGAGGAACAAGTGGATCCCATGATCTTGGTTGTGTTGGTTAGTAATAAAATTACTGTATTCTAGTGCAAATAATAGTCTTTCTATTATAGGGTATTTTGCTCTTTTGATGTATACCAATATAAATATACAAAGTATAGTTGAACAATTGCTGTATAATCCTGTGCTTTTATCATCCACCCTGCATTTCAGATCTGGCAGAATGGGTCATAATAGAGCACTCATGTATGTATAGCTAATGTATTCCTTCAGAAATTGAGCATATATCTACAATTCATGCTTTCATAATGAATATGCTTAGTAAATCATCTCGTAACATCATCACTATGTATGAAAGTGCTTCTATTAACACTCCCCCCACCATCACCACCTCCCACATTAACAAGGACAACATTATGAGGACTCTTTTGGGTGTTCTTCTACAGAGATAAAAGGACTAACAGTTAAAGGCCTATACAGCTTTGTGGGGCAATACAAGTTCACAAGGCCGTAAATAAAATAAAATAATCCCATGGTAAAAATTGTGTCACCAGATTTCATTCTCTGAACCCCGAGTTTCATCATCAGTATTCGAAGTGGAACCTGTGGAAGGACGTAAGGTCAGCAAAGTTGTGAAGACCACCATGGTCCATGGAGAAAGGACAGAAAAGTATCTTGGAGACCTTAGTTTAGCATCAGATCTACCATCAGCCAAGGATGATTTTGAACAGGTATTATGGTAGTAGCCCTGGGTCTGTTTACTTAAATGTCACCTGTAAGTAGAACATAGTTTTACCTTTCTACTTCTACAGCTACCGTATTACTTTTCTTATCTCTGATATGGTAGCAACGTCTGATTAGATGCTTCTGAGAAGAGCATAGTTTTTTCACTTCTACAGCCACCATTTTGCTTTCCATACCTGTATGTTTGCAGCATCTGACTGACTGTTAGAAACTACGCTCTAACTAGAACATAGTCTTAATGCTTCTGCTCATTTAGCTGCCAGAGTTGCCCACTGCTGTCTGGGTCTCTCATGGACAGTAAAGTTAAAAACAACATGCTAGATCACTGTGTAGTTTTTAATTCATCTTTTTTCCCAAGTGAACCTTTATATTTACATATTTACACAAAAATCTTCTAAACTAAACATTATAAAGACCAGTGTGAAGAATTGTGATACTTGAAAGAGTTAGGCGAAGCCTCACGTACAATCTGTTAATTAAGCTGACAACATCCAAGGGGATACACTCTTTGTAAACATATTGGCAAATATCCTTCAGTCTAAGCTGACAAATACAATTATAATATCTCAGAATAATAGTAATCTAGAGATGTGGTAAAAAACTGCTGTGAGTGAAAAGTAGATATTTCACATCTGCACTTTAAGGGCTGTCTTATGTCTATGTTCTGTGGAAGAGCAGGTGTGGAGTTTTATTAGTAATAATTTGACTGAAATTGTTATGGCTCCTGTTTCCTGCTCTTCTGGACCTGGATACTGGTTCCTCCTTCATGTGGGAGGTGCAGTGTTATTTGTCATGTGTCTCCACACATGATATGCTGCTTCCTGGCTGCTCTTATCACATGTGAAAGGGCCAACATGAGAGCTAAGGGAATATCAAATTCATAAGAATGTATGAATTTAAGAATTTATGAATTTATGAATTCTTACAGCACTGTAGGTTTCCTGTCAGTCTAGCTGATGAAATAAAACATTTATTTTTCTTTCTGCTTTCTGAACAAATGTAACTAAATGCATAAAGTAGTCACATTGATTAAACAGGAAAGCTTGAGTAATCTTATCTCAGAATAAAATATCACACCACTCTAAGTATTTTGATTGGAACAGTTTCCAGCTGTGGACAAATTTGTTGGTACCCTTCCATTAAAAAAGAACCCACAATTTTTTCTGAAATAACTTAAAACTGGCTAAAGTAATTGGCATCCATCATTGTTTATTCCATATTTGATAAAAATCAGACTTTGCTTTTGATTTTCAATTTAACAGAATGTTTTAAATAATAAAACAAATGGACATGGCATGGACGAAAATTATGAAAGACAAACTAATATTTTGTCACACAACCTTTAGAGGCAATAACTGTACACAAGCGATTTCTGTAGCTCTCAATGACACTGCTGCACCTGCCAACAGGTAGTGTGGCCCACTCTTCCTGAGCAAACTGCTCCAGCTGTCTCTGGTTTGAAGGGTGCTTTCTCCAGGCTGCATGTTTCAGCTTTTGCCATAGATGCTTAATAGGATTCAGCTCAGGGCTCATGGAAGGCCACTTCAGAATAGTCCAATATTTTGTTCTTAACCATTGTTGGGAGCTTTAGCTATGTGTTTTGGGTCAATTTTCTGGACCCATAGTCTGCGGCTAAGTCAGAGGTTTCTGACACTGGGCAGTACATCTTGCTCCAGAATTCCTTGATAATCCTGCTATTTTATTGTACCCTGCACAGATTCAAGGCATACTGTGCCATATGCACAAAACAGCTCTAAACATAACTGAACCTCCTCCATCTTACACAGTGGGTGTGGCATTCTTTTCTTTAAAAGCTTTTTTTGGTTTGTTTGTGAACAGCTGATGTGACTTGCTAAAAAGCATCAGTCCGGCTTTTGTTATGTGTTTCTTTCAAAAGGGGAATCCTCTTTGGTCCTCTTCCTTTGAACCCACTATTGCTCAAAAGTGATGGATGGTATGACCAGACCCTGGTGTACCTTGACATTGGACTTTAGCTTTTATCTCTTTGGAAGTTTTCCTTGGCTCTTTGTTTACTATTCGCTCTATCATTCTGTTAAATCTGGGGTCGATTTTTCTCTTGCCGCCACATCCATGGTGGTTGGCTCACAGACCCTAAAATTCCTAATGTTGATCTCCACGTATAAATATTTATGTATACTTACATTGGTTCAATGTGAGTATACATATTTTTGACCTGGTAGAGCCAAGATGCTCCTGTAAAACACTGCTGCAGTCCTGATACTACTGCTGTGCTAATCAACTCCCACTCTCCTGTAAAAACAGGGCGGGTCACTTGCTTGCCACAGTGGCCACTCAGGTAACACCTTGTATTTTTATCAATGAATACTAGGTGTTCGCTGATTGGGCAGTGACGTCACACTGAACCAATGTAAGTATACATAAATATTTATACCTGGAGTTCAGCTTTAATAATATTTGAAACTCTAGTCACAGGAACACCAAGCTTCTTGAAGATGGTTGTATGGCTTTCACTAGGTGATCTATAATTTTCTTTCTGATCTCCTCAGCCTACACTCTCCTATGCTTTCTCTAGTTTAGTGCGGTGCACACAATGATACCAAACAACAGAGTGACTACTTTTCTCCTTTTAAATAGGCTGACTGGCTGGTTACAAGACTTGTGATACTAATTACAGAAAATATTTGGTTAGAATCATCACTTTGATCTAATTATTTATAATCTTTCTAGGGGGTACCAACTTATCTGTCCAGGCCATTTTAGAACACTCACCGGCCAGTTTATTAAGTACAGCTTGTTAGTACTACCGGGTTGGACCCCCTTTTGCCTTCAGAACTGCCTTAATTCTTTGTGGCATTGATTTAACAAGGTGTTGGAAACATTCCTCAGAGATTTTGGTCCATATTGACATGATGGCATCACGGGCCCAAAGTGTGCCAAGAAAATATCCCCCACACCATTACACCATCACCACCAGCCTCCATCCATTCTTTCATGTTGGTAACACCAAATTCTGACCCTACCATCTGAATGTCGCGGCTGAAATCGAGACTCATCTTACCAGGCAACGTTTTTACAGTCTTCTATTGTCCAATTTTAGTGAGACTGCGAATTGTAGCCTCCGTTTCCTGTTCTTAGCTCACAGGAGTGGCACCCGGTGTGGTCTTCTGCTGCTGTAGCCCATCTGCTTCAAGGTTCAATGTGTTGTGCATTCAGAGATGGTATTCTGCATACCTTATTATATCGCAAGTGAGTTGCGCTCGGTCTCGACAAATATAAATAAATTAAATATGTGTGCTCTATAGGATGTGAAGAAGTTACTAAGTTCAGATTCTACTGTGAAAAAATTATAAATCTCGGTAGTCACTACCTCGGTAATAATTGTGCAATACAACAATCAGGTGTGGGAAAAGGGTTTTCAATCACCAGCCGGTGTATTGATTAGGTGTTTCTGTGTACTAAGTGTACATGGTTTGTCCCAACAAACCTCTTAATGATGTGACAATCTATTCAAAGGCACCAATTCAAATATAAATGACTCGGTGTCACAGATTGGTCGTGTATAAGAAAAACAAAAACAAATTCTAAAATCCCAATCTCTAAATCGTGACAAATTTTAAATATAGTGCGAACACTTAAATAATAGAAATTAAACAGTATGAAAAATTATCACGTATACAGTGCTACTCCGTGCACTCTGATTCCTCTCAAAGACAAAGATTAAATGCGGGGTTAATTTAACTAAAATACCGGCATCGATCTTAGTGAGCAGTCAGTTCAGAGTAGTCAGTTCAAAACGTCTCAAACCAGGGATAATTCATAGAATCCGGAAAGTCCTATGGTTTCTTGTGATCCGTCCTCCTTTCTCAAAAGATCTGGTCTGCTTTTTTCCTCCCTCTGGCAGGCTCCCTCACCTCTCGCTGGGGATGGAAACCTATTAAGATCTCCCAGGGGGAAAAAAGACGATACTCAATACACCGGCTGGTGATTGAAAACCCTTTTCCCACACCTGATTGTTGTATTGCACAATTATTACCGAGGTAGTGACTACCGAGATTTATAATTTTTTCACGGTAGAATCTGAACTTAGTAACTTCTTCACGTCCTATAGAGCACACATATTTAATGTATTTATATTTGTCGAGACCGAGCGCAACTCACTTGCGATATAATAAGTTCACTTACACACATAGTTGCGGCTGGTCGAACTAATTATTTAGTTATTTAGTTTTCACACCTAGCGCAGTGATTCTTGAATTACTATTCTGCATACCCTGGTTGTAACGAGTGGTTATTTGAGTTACTGTTGCCTCTCTATCATTTCGAACCACTCTGCCCATTCACCTCTGACATCAACAAGGCATTTTTGTTCACACAACTGCCGCTCACAGGATATTTTCTCTTATTCGGACCATTCTCTGTAAACCCGAGAGATGGTTGTGTGTGAAAATCCCAGTAGATCAGCAGTTTTTGGAATACTCAAACCAACCCGTCTGACATCAACAACCATGCCACATTCAAAGTCACTTGAATCCCATTTCTTCCCCATTCTGATGCTTGGTTTGGTTCAGCAAGTTGTCTTCACCAAGTCTACATGCCTAAATGCATTGCTGCCATGTGATTGGCTGATTAGCAATTTGTGTTACCAAGCAACTGAACCTAATAAAGTGGCCGGTGAGTGTATATCTTCTGTAAAATAAGCAATAATGATCTCTTTTCAAGCTTTCTTTTCTTGACTTAATGACATACCAAAAATATGCAGTTGCTTTTTATTTCATCACTTTTCAGGCGGAATGAAGCATTATTCCAATGAGCTGTAAGGGTACTAACAAGTTTACCCAGGTCTTTATGTAAATGTAGATGCTTTTCATATGTCATTGTTGCATCATTGTATTCAGGTTTGAGTGCATCCATAGCAACATCTTCACACAGCCGCCTGTCTTTCCTGCTTTTCTTAGGTCAGCCTGACCAGCACTGAATATGGAGGAGAAAGCAAGCGTCGTAGTGT